CATCCTATATAGGTCCAAATATCTTAAACCGACTTAGTGGGCCCCATAGAGAGGTGCTTGGCGCAGTCTCGTGAAAATGGAAATATCTCTCTACTCCAAGATCGTATCGATGAACGGTTTAATAAGTTGGAAACTAGACTCATAGATATTTAATTTGGTTGGTAGATCACCCCGTAATTCCTTGTAAATTAGGAGAAAAGATTAGAAACATTTGAACTAATGTTTAAGTAAAATTATGAACCTAAGTTGCGACAACTTTTGTCGACTTTTGTTTCATAACTCGTTTGACTTCAAGACTTATAATACGAATATTATATGATTAAAATACCTTAATAAATGACCTCTTTAGTGTATTAAGCACTGCTAGATTTACCTGAAAATACGAGTTATAACATCCTTGATTCATTTAACTTCTAATACTTGTTAATCACCCTTATACACTCTTATATCACTTAAGACCAATAGGATTGACTTATTATCATCTCAAAGATAATTCCTTCTTGGATTTATGTTAACTAATATATGGCATGAACTAACACATGTGGATATGGGTTGTAACAGACAACCCCACATCGTCTTCTCTGTGAAGCCCAAATGAACAACCCCCTTGTACTTAACACCTAAGAGAAGCAGCGGCTGAACAATAACGACCCCACCCTGCCGATCTTCTTCTTCGTCCTCGCATCCACCATGCGACCACTCTCACGCTAGCCTAAACCAAACAGCCATCTCCACCTCTCTCCTTCAACCATAACACACCCAAAACTTAGAAGAAGCTTCAACCGCTTGGACCCCCTTTGCCTCCAACAGAAAACAGATCCTAAGACATCAAGAGCTAGAGCCATTTGGCTTCAATCTTTTGGACACCCTAGATCAGCCCTTCTTCCTCTCTCAAAGGACAGGTCGAGTAACAGAAAAACCGAGTAGGGAACGAAAACTGAGGTTCAAGGTTCAAGTCAGTCGTCGGTTCGAGTTCGGGTCCGACGAGATCGTATGTTCGTTAATTCCGTTCGTGGTTCAAATATCTGTTTGATGATCTTTGGTTATGCTTATCCTGCTTATGAGTTCTTTAAAATGTGGAAATGAATACACCTAATATTCAGGAACTTCGTTTTTGTTGATGCTAGTACTGGATCTTAGTTGTGTATTGATAGTTTGTGATTGGTGATGCTTTTGTTTCGTGGGTTTCAATGTACAGCTAAGCTAAGTTGACATTTTTCATATACTTTTGGTACACCGAAACTAAGGGCAAATTTTTATTAAAATGTGGGTTTGAATCCGTGCTTGGTTGAGTTTCTGGTGACGATTCGAGATTCCGTCCGTTTTTCAGCTTTCTGGTGTTA